AGGAAGAAAAAAGAAACGAGAAGGAAGGCTTTGCGGTTGACAGATATCCTGATAGGAAAACATTCAAAGGATGAAGTGGGCAAACTACCTCGGGACCACCGTAATGCCAAACCCCATTCTTGCACGAAGAAATCGGAGAGTATGACGGAGATCTTTTCGCCAAAAATCCTTATATTCATAACGACAACCCTGGTTTTCCACATTGACCCCTTTAAATGGTCCCCCCCCCTCTCACCAGTCAGCCGACTCCCGCCACGTACAACTTCCCTATAATAAAAGGTGCTAACGTATTTGGGGGGGGGGCACGCGGCTCGCGGCGAGTGATGACTCATCGACTCTTCTGCTTCCTCCTCGGCAAAATAGAAGTAACCTCATGTTTAAGACATGGATATAACACCGTCCTAGCTATATTTGAAAGCTTAAGCAGTTAACGCTGAAAAGTGCGAAGAAACAGTTGTAGGATGGAAGATTTTGCCTAAACTACCAACGATTGTTGCCTTTTTGATGTTGACCGTTATTCTTGACTACAAAAGATCAAACATTTGTTGTTCTCAGCTTCTGTGGGATTTCAGTATTCGGTGAATCTTGTTTGTTTTATTCTAATTTTGCTGCTAGATTAGCGCTCTAAGTATGTCAATGAGTGAAGAGCCGATGAGTCATCACTCGCCGCGAGCCGCGTGCCCCCCCCCCAAATACGTTAGCACCTAATAAAATAAAATAATAGAAATAATTGTTCACGGAAGTAGAAATACTTGGTCCTGAACAGAAACCAATCGAAAAAAGGCCAACCAATCAATTTTCCCTGAATTTCGACATCATCCTTGAAACGCTCTTTGAAACCTCTTCTGGGAAATAAAATACAAAGTGAGTCATGCAAGGTCCAAGGTTCGCCAAATTAGTTACAAGTAGGAAAAACTTTCAAAATTCCGTGTAGGAAACAGCATACGCAATTTTGCACAATCGACTAATTACTGTATCATTTTGCCTGGTAATATTTACTCGTGCAAAGTCTGCAAGCAAATGACATTAAACTAGAGAGCTCTGGTCCTTCAGCAAGGAACAGCACGAGGACCACCCCTGAGAAAAGGTGATTTTTGACCCTGGTGGCGAGAAATGCAGTGTAATTAGTGTGAGTACAACCCAAAACCTGACCAATATTCAGTGGCGGTACACAAAATATCGAGGGCGGGCGCCACTGGGATGCACGTATTGAGGGTGCAACGGGCGATAGACGACACACAATACACGTTCACGAGTGCACCAGGCCAACACACAAATGGGCAATCGATCTAGCGCGACAAGGGCACGCCGCTCGTCGTCGCCGCGCGCGCCCACGAGCAAACAACTGCGAGCAGGTCCGACACGTGCGATCGGGAACGTGGTTGCACGGCTGGTCGCACACACGATGATCAACGAACGCGACATTCATCATACTGATGTCATTTCAATTGTAAGATCAGCATTGTTCATTGCCTGAAGTACAATGGTGAGTCAGCCAGGAAGCAAGCCGAGTTACTACCGCCATCTACCAGGCTGGCAGGAGAAATGACGCTCAGGCTGGCAGCATAACGTCACCCTCCAGCCGCTCGGATAGCTGAAGGTTGACGTTATGCAGGACGTTTCGGCCAGGGTGCATCATCGTTGTGGAATTTACGTAGGAGGGATGGTATTTGGTCACTGGCAGCAGAGTCGCACACGGTTTTAAGAGGACTTCATGATTTCTCTCGTTCAAGTGCGGGAACATGTGTACATCCCTAGCACACTCTTCATCCCGGAGATGGAAACAGGGTACGTCATCGTTAGAGATTCCCGAACAAAGGGGGCTGGAGTTATTCGCTCGTTGTTTGCTCGTTGTTGGGAGAGGCAGGGACGCAGTTACCTCCTTCTGGCCTTCTGAGACAGCTTGATTACTTTTCGTGGTTTTTCCTGTTTCATATGTATAAGGTTGTCTGGAAAGTTCTCAGCGTTTTGAGTGTTTCACTTTGAAGACACATGGTACGCTCAAACATATGAGGGTGATTGGAACTATCAGCCCCCCCCCCCACTGTCGATGGTCGTGGTCTCCTCGCCCAAACTGCGGTTCAGAGTACGGGCCGTGGGAAAGTCGTAATTCCTTGCTACACCGCCCTCACGTTTATGCTAACACCATCCGCGCGGCGCGGTCGCGTGCAGCTCTCTTGGCTTTTTGCCAAGTCCTGTAATTGCGCTTTGGAATACAAGTACAACGCAATTTCTTTATGCGGATAACATTTTAGGTGCTGCAAAATAAGGACCGAAGAAAGGGCCGCGCATTCCCACAGAACATGACAATAAAAACGGACAACATGACAATAAAACATGACAATACAAGCAAAACGCAATTTCCTAACATTTGAGGTATTGCTCATGCTTCAAAGTCCGAAGAAGGTGATGAAGATGACAAAGGCTAGAAATGAACAACAACGAATGTAGATGTAAATAAAAAATTGAAAAAACTAAGGAAACGCAATAAATTAAAATCGCGTGTGCATTTCTGCGATCCGGCTCGAATCCGGCTCTAATGCTATAGAAATACTTCAAACTAACGAGTGGGACGCTTAGGCCGTTTTTATTTTGATGTTTTGTGGGAATGCGCGGCCTGCGAGGGCTGTTGCAGAAGCAGCACAGTTGCTCTTGAGTTCTAGCCCTCGTCATCATCTTCGGTTCTTATTTTGCAGCACCTAAAATGTTATCCGCATAAAGAAATTGCGTTGTACTTGTATTCCAAAGCGCAATTACAGGACTTGGCAAAAAGCCAAGAGAGCTGCACGCGACCGCGCCGCGCGGACGGTGTTAGTAAAAACGTGAGTTTGCAAAAACGGGCGGCGTAGCAAGGAATTACCCACGGCCCGTACTCTGACCCCGTGCAGTTTTGGGCGGGGGGACCACGACACATCGACAGCTGGGGGGCTGATAGTCTCATACACCCTCAATGTGTTTGAGCGTACCATGTGTCTTTAAACGATCATAACTTCTTAACACTCATCGGATTTAATCGAAATAAGCACCGTTCGAATCAGCACACTTTTGCCAATGTGACACCAGTCGATAAATCCCATCAAAGAAAAAACTGGGTGGTCGAGAATCCACGAAATCCACGAAGGCTTTTGCCTGGTCCTGATTGATGAAGTATTTTCCAGCAAGGAAGTTCTGAAAATGTTTGAAAAGGTGATAGTCGGTTGGTGAAAGGTCTGGAGAATATGGCGGGTGAGGTAGAACTTCAACCCCAATTCGTTCAATTTATGGATAGTGATTTGTGAAACGTGTGGGCGGGCGTTGTCATGCAAAAGAATCGGACCCTTTCTGTTGACAAGTGCTGGCTGCAGCTGACGCAATTTTCGGTACATTTCGTCGATTTCTTCACAGTAGGACTCTGCTGTGATGGTTTGGCCTGGTGACAAAAAGTTATAGTGGATCACACCAGCCGATGACCACCACACTGTGACCATAATCTTTTTTTCGTGAGGATTCGGCTTTGGAAATTGCCTCGGTGGTTCGTCGGCATCCAACCACTGTCCGGAACGTCTCCTGTTATCATACATGATCCACTTTTCATCACAGGTGACAATTCGGTCCAAAAACGGGTCGTTTCTGTTGCGCAAAAGCAGTGAAGAAGAAACCTCGAGA